CACCTGTCACGGGCGCCCCGGGCTCCCTCGGCGGCCGCTGCTCATCCCGGTGCCGCCTCCCTCCCCGCGGGGCCCAGCTCCACCGCCGCGTCAGGCCCCACAGCACCCGCGCTCCCGGAAACCCCGCCCCCCGGGCTCCAGGGCACCGGAAGCGGGGGGCGGGACGGGGCCCGCCCAGGGGCCGCACTGCGCAGAAACGGCGGGACAGGGCGCGCTGCGCATGCGGCTAAGCGGCATCGGCCGGCGGCGCCGCACTGCGCCTGCGCCGGGTTGGGGCCCAGTGCGCCTGCTCCGCGTCTCTCAGGCTACCACGTCCGCACGCTGGCAGCGCAGCCACCCTGGTGGGCGGGGCCCCCTGAGAGCCCCGCCCATCTGGCCTCCCCATAGATTTGCATAAATTTCCATAGAGCATAATTGATTTTGGAGCAGCAAACAGTGGGGTGTTGGACTAATGGTAGGAACAGGAACCCCGGCATCCGGGGGGGGGGGGGGCCCCCCCCCCCCTCCGCCGCCCCCCGGAGCCCAGGCCCCACCAGGCACTAGTCCCACTCCCTCAGACACACATCCACCCTGCAGCAGGGTGAGCCCAGCACAGACTGGTGCCCGCAGGACTCATGCTGGTGTGGTAACAGTAGCCGTGTGGATGTTGCCACATGGGCTGTCAGTCTCAGGGAGGTGGGGGCACGAGAGCCTAAGTTACATCAGCCCCACTGCATGAGGTTGTGGGGGGGACTCCCCTCCCCCACTGTGCAGACACCCAGAAAGAGAAGTTAGCACTGAAATCAGCCGAGGGGTCCAGCGTAGGAGCGTTTGCTACAGTGTATTTGCAACACACATCACAATTCTTGGGTAGCATCCTACACATTTTACAGTGTGTCTATTCCATACATCCCTTCCTCTCCCGTCACCCCCACCCCAGGGCAGGGTGGGGCACAGCAGTTGCTTACCAGCACTGCTATGCGACCCCTTGGCACAGGAAGCAGAGAAGGCAGTATCCCCCGCGGGGGGAAGAGAGGGGCAGAACTCAGCAACATTCTCAGGAAAGAGCTTGCTGAGTGAAAGCAGCACAGGGCGGGAAGGATGAAGCAACAGTAGTGAGGGCAGGTGGGTTAGACAGGTCAGACCAGCCGATCAGAAAGCTCCCTTCTGGCTGTGGGATCTGGCGAAGAGCAGGAGGAGGAAGACAAGTGTTAATTAAAACCCTCGGATTTTCTTTTGCCAGGTGACGGAGGAGAGACGAGCAAGACAACAGTGTCTCACGCAACGTCGTGGTAGTTTTGCCCCAGGGAGCACAGTCAATGGAAAAACTATTCAATAAAGCACAACCCCCCCGCAAAACTGCTCAGGGTAAAATGCTTTGAGCATCCTGGGCAGGAGGGAGCGGGTTAGTCTCTAGGCGCAAGAGCAAGAGCTGGCCATCTCAACCTGGGCCTAGGACTCCGGTCCCTGCCCCAGATTTGCCATGACCCTTCCTTGGGTAGGTCACCGCTGCACTCTGGGTAGCAGTTTATCTGTGAGAGGGGATAACATCCACCACTGTGCAGCCCTTTTCACATGGAGGCTCTGGAGGTGCTGAGTAAGTCGACAGTACCATCCCTAGCCGCAGAGGACCCCAGACCATGAATCTTCCTTTAAAAGCAAGCAGAGGGATTTCCGAGCAGCAGAGATCCATTAAAGGCCAGGGAGGGATGAGAGGAGTATGTCTTTTTTTATGCTTTATTGCAACAGCACGTCAAATCCTTGAAGAATCACGGCACGTGCCTTGAGTGCATTACACAAATCTCTACTGCCTCTACGGCCGCTGACTACACAACGTAGCCTGTGCGCAGATTTCATTCTCCTTCTTAAAAAAAAAAAGTATTTTGCCTCGAACAGTCTAAAAACATTCAGAACACTAACCCTCCTTTCGAAAGCACGACGAAAACGCCCAGAAACGGGTTATGCCAACTTGCCTATTTTGTCTTGGGGGAGAGGGGGGAGAGACACACCCAAACTTCCCTTTCTTGGATCCAATGACCCCATCCCCTCCCCTCAGAAACAGCCTCCTCATCTCCGTCCCACAGCTGAACACTTGTGTTTTAACCCCGTTATAAAGCCTTCGGAACCTGCAAAGCGGGCGTTTCACAAGAAAAGTTAGCACTTCAGAACAAACAGGAAGGCCAATACAGGCAACCACTTAAAAACAGATGATAAAATAGAAAAGCTAAAGGGATGCAGTAAACCCACAGCAAAAAATGCGACAGGATCTCCTTAAGGAGAAGGCCTACATCCAGAGACATTAAACCTCCTGTTTGGCTTAATAAAGAACAGTAGATAGAAGAAGGAAGAATTGTTGTTTGGATTAAGTCGGTCCTTCAGCCCAGCGCCTCAGCTGCAGCCCCAATACACAGAGACCTGAAACCGCACGACGACATGGCAGGCTAACACCGCATTGGGTTTAGGGCAGAGGTGGTCTACAGCGACAACCACATTTCATCAGTTGGCAAGGAAGCCAACGGCAGCCACTCATCCTTGCTCCGGTGCCATGTCCCGCAGACGCTCCCAGCCAAAACGGAGCGTTGCCGGCTGGGGCCTATCCAGCAGGTTACACTCTCTTTAGTAAGATAACCCACTTAGCACGGACCTAGTGCTCTTTATCCGAATATCTTGCAGCACTCACCAACGGAGGGTGGAGGAGTGCGGCTGCACGCCATGCTCCAGGTCTGTGGGCTGCATGTGACCACCTTAGTCTGGTGCTCCAGCAGGGAACCTCTCTCGGCACCGCCAAGCTTTGTCTGTGAACTCCTGACAGCTACCCAGCTAGCCTGACAGGCATTGACCCCTCTCCCCCACCCACAGTACCTACTTGGGAGGAGTAACCCCTTTTAGTGAGGGGAAGAGGGGAGCACAAACAGAGCCCTCTGAACTAGCCGGCCCACAGCCTGACAGCCCGTGACTCCCCACAGAACAGGACAAGCTGCCCCTGCCAGATGCTACATTCTGCCCTAGAGCGGAGACAGGAGCTTGCTGTCCAGGACTCAGTCCTCAGCCTCTCTGCAGAGGCTTCCCCCAGGAGTGGCAGCACCAGCTGCCCCGGTGGTTCTTTGATACAGACACGTGTCCACTCGGAACGGGGGCCACCACACAGCATGGGAGTGACCCTGGCTCCTGTCCCAGGCTGCATAATGGGCTAGTCTCCCTACACAAAAGAATGTACAGGAGTCCTGCCTTTTAGGAAGGGGAGGCAATCCCCTTGGGACAGAGACGCTGAGAAGTAATCAAAGCCAGACATCTGCCTTTGTATTTGCACATGTGCAAAATGACTTCACTGCTGAATCTCTGTGCTACTCAGAACCAAACCTCTCAGCACGAGGGTGCTGAAATCCTGTCAGGAGTGGGAGTTATGCTGCCTCCTGGAAAGCAAGGCCAGGATCTAGCCTCGGGGGATGAGGCCGATTGACTCTGAGCTGGGAAATCCGAAGAGAAACTGGCCCTGTGCAGAACTGTGCTGCTTTTACACTTGAGGGCAACTGCCCAGACATCTGAACAAAATATCTCCCCATCCCCCACAAACAAAATATTTCTTCTTGAACTGACCAAACAAATCCAGGCCACGCATACTCTTAGCATGTTCCTGGCAGACTCTGGAGCTGCCCACGGACCTGTTCGAATCCATGCCACACTCTCAGGGTGCAAGGTCAGCACAGATCCGGGTGGAAACCCATGCCTGGAACACAAGTGTAATGCTGTACTGGGCAGGCAGGTGGAGTGACGCTAGCACAGGGACTAAGAAATGTTCACACAAGAGCAGGTGTGAGGACGGAAGGAGAAGAGACATCTCCCGTGGGTCTTAGATTAATACTCTTGGACTGACAACATTCAAACAGACGCCTGCGCAGTGTCCGGGAGCCCTTACGTTTGGTTTTATAGGTTGCTAGGAAACCCTCTTAGACTCAAGAGTTCCAGCAGTGTCCCCACTCCGTATTATCTCTGTACGGAGACCTCGAGACGCTACTTCCTAGATACAGGCAAGAACCTGCAGAGGGAACAAGATAGAAAAAAAGAATAGAAAAAAGCTTTCAGTGCACTTTAGCGCTGGTGAAAGGCGCTTGGACGACAGCCTGGGAGTGGAAAGCCCTCCGTTAGCCAGAGCCCAGGCTTCTGCCGTGCCGCAGACCCACTGCGGGGAGTAGGGGCGTAGTCTCCAGGACCCATTCTCGCCTGGTCTTCTCTGCTGAGGCCTCCAGACAAGGGGGCGCACAACTCACATCAATTGTGATGGTTCTGTTTTGATGTAGGCAGCCACCATGCAAGAATCCCAACTCATTTCACACAGCGGCTTGTGCCCTTTGAGTTTAATGGTAAGGAATGAACCAGGAGCAGAGCACACGCACACTCCACTCAAGCCGAGTTGGGTCTGGGCCAGGCGCCCCGATCCTGCCGAAGGAGACAGAGACAGGTCTCTGGGAATCCCCCACACAGGGTTACATGCATGTAAAGAGAGTGGTAACAATGCAGACAAAGGACAAAGTGGTTCGGACACTAGCGGCTTCAGAACCAAACCTTCCAGGCGCTTTTCACCGATCAGTTTGCCTTCTTGCCCAGTCTTTTAAAGACACTAACAGTCCCTGTATTGTCCATCTGAGCGCTATAGATTTCGCTGGTGCTGCTTACCTTAGTGCTACCCAAAGTCCTCTTTAGAGTGACCCTGAACTGCGGCTCGGCTTTGTTCTTCGTGCTGGTGACGCTGCTGTCCTGGGCCTCGGTGGGCAGGGCGGGCTTGCCCAGTCTCTGGATGACGCTGACTTTGGACGCTGATTCCGCCTTCTTTTCCTTCACCGCCAGGCCGGAGCTCTTATTGCCAAGTCGTCGAATGGTCGTCACAGCTGGTTTTGCCTCCGAGCTTGTGGCTTTTGCTTTGATGGTGACTCCTGGTTTGGCACTTTCCTTGCGTAAAGGCTTGGAGAGCTTCTTCAGGACGCCAGCATACTGCAGGACGGAGCAGTCGTCGTCGCTCTCTGCGGCTTTGTCCTCCTCTGCCTCCAGTGCGTCCCCCAGGCGGCTGAAGACCCCCGTAGGCTGCAATGCATCAAAAGGAATAAAAATGGGGAGGCAGTGCATCCTAGTGGACTGAGCACTGGACTGGGACACAGGTTCTGTTCCCAGCTCCGCTACCTGCCTGCTGGGTGACCTGGGGCAAGTCCCCTTCCTGCGCCGTGCCTCAGTTCCCCCAGCTGGGGGACATTATATAGCCCTCTTTTGCGATGTGCTCCAAGATGCACTGACAAAAAGTGCTAGATCAGAGCAAGGGATTATTCTTCTCCTAAAACAGAGCACGGTCGGTAAAATATTCTTCCACTTCGTGTTCATTGGAGAGAGACATACAATTCCGGCGGGTTAATAACCACACAACCACCTTGCTCTGACGTAGAACAGGAGATCAGTATCTAGCCCACAGCAGAGATGGGGAAACTGAGGAACAGAGGGGCATGACTAGCCCAAGGTCACCCAGAGGTTGGCGGACAGATCCCAGGGTGCCCCAATCCCAGTCCAGCACCACTCTCTGTCTCAGGTGCGTCTCAGGTTTTGATGTGAATGTGCTGACAGTGACAGGTGTTAAGTGTCAACCATAGAGACCCAAGTCCTCCACCTCCAGAACAGGCAGAGAAGCGTCCGGGCAAGTGCTTCCCCTCCCCTCCCCCCAACATGCACACCATGGCCCAGAGGGGACCTTCGTTTCCGCGGATCATTTACCACCCTCTCTTGGTTAAGGCTGCCAACAGGGCCGCTAAGTATCGTGGTTATTTCTGTGACGCGAGCACCTGTCCACTAGGAATGGATCCCAGACTGAATCTTTTCACAGAGGCCACAAACAGCCAGGGAGCGGAGGGCTCAGTCGCTCGGATTTAAAGCACACCGGCTGTAGCAGAAGTGACCAGTGACCTCTTCTCAGCCTTTCAACCGTGGCTGCGGATCCGGAAGGAATCGACGTGAAAGCAATCAAGGCGGCTGTGAGAACAGGTACAGCAGCGATGGGCCACAGAACAGGACCCCAGAGCGGTAACACCGAGCTGGATGAGAAGGAGCCCTGGGACCCCCCCGCAAACAGCATTTCTGTCCTGCCTGTGCAAAGCGCACACGCCTGGCTATGACACCAGGAGCCAGACAGTCCCACCCTCATGGTGAGCCATCCCCTGGATTTCAATGGGGCACAGCAAGGAACTTGTGGCCAGGACGCAGGGCGCTCGCAGCCCCTGCCCTCTCTCACCGCCATAGAAACACCCTTCCCTCTCACCTTATTCCCTGTGGTTGTGTCTGCCTTCATCTCAGCTCCCAGCCGGTCAAACACAGACGTCCTGGGCACACCTGGCAGCAGCAAAGACGAGAGAAGTGCTTTCAGGCTTCCACAAGAAGGAAACTGGGGAAGGTTTTACGAAAACCACAAGGGGCATCCTGTCGGATGTGAGCAAGGTTCAGCAGGAAATGGTCACCATACCTCTATAAATACATCCCTCCCCTGCCCGTTAACAGCACATGCTGCAAACGGTACCCACACTGACATGCCTCTCCCACTCTTCCCTCCAAAGTCTCACAAAGAGCTGCAAAGATGTCACGTGCGCACAGCCCTCCTAACATGCAGCCACCTCTGGAGTGGAGCACAGCGGCCAGGGTACAACATGCTGCTCAACGCTGCGGGAAAGGAGCACTTGGCCAGGATTCTCTCAGAAACCAGCCAGGTGCTCTCAGGCGGGACTCTCAACAGGACCTTGGCTTTCAGGCCTCCCTTGAAAGTCCCACATACACGAAGGCCTTGTCTAGTGCCCCCCTTTGACTGCACCAGCATAACTGAGTGTGCACAACCCCCTAATGTGGACGCAGTGCCCGGCTGCTTTACCCCAGTACAGCCATTTCCACATGGGACGAGGAATACGCTGCACCAGTACAAGGCACCTCTGTACCACACTAGGGGTTGTGTCACACCCGCTGGTACCAAACCCATGTCTAGATCAGACCTTGGGTGTGTGACCCCTAGTTTGTCAGTCTCACAGGCTCGCCCCCATTCCTAGTCACACGGGCTCGCTGAGTGGGCGTGGAGAAGGAAGTACTGTTCATCTTCCATTGTAAAAGCGTGTCTTAAGCACCAGGTCTCTGCTCACCACCAGCAGCCAGCAAGATATCCGGCTGCAGGCAGTGCAGCTGTAGCCATGTCATTCCCGTGATACTAGAGACCAGGGGAGTGAGAGAGACAAGCACAGAGCTCTTCTTCGGGGCTGGGAAGGGTACCCGGAGCGCCACAGCTAACTACAGGGTGGAACAGATTGGTTAGCATAAGTTGCTAGCACAGATCGTAAGACTGAATGTGCTAAACACTGTTCCACCTTGCACTTTGCTGGGAAAGAGAGTTCCTTTCCCAGACCGGATGGAGGGCTCTGTGCGGCTCGAAAGCTGGTCTCTCTCACCAGCAGAAGTTGGTCCAATAAAAGATATGACCTCCTCCACCTGGTCTCTCTTGATGCGGGGTTCGTCAGATGGATCTGGGGAAGACAGACACATGCTTTGCCAAGGGGCCAAGAACATACCAGTGGTACCTTTTGCTGCCTGCTGTTCCAGGATTTTCTTAGTCCTGGGCGTGGTACCTTTTGGCATGTTGATGATGTACTTCCCTTCCATCTCCGCTGTTACTCGCCGTCGTTTCACCGGGCCCACCAGGCTCTCATCCGCTGGATCGCATAATGCTGGGGAAAAGACGAAGGGGAGAAGAGATCAGACTCGGCTAACTCCAAGCTCCCGCGCTCTAGGGATCCCACTGGATAAAGCGTTTTCCTTCCAGAGGCTCGGTGGCAGAGGAGTCAATATTTAGGGATGGATGAAGGTACGGACGGCTCTGCAGCCCAACAGTCGCTGCGTGTCCTAGAGCTGCTGCGATGCACTCTCTGCTCTCCAGAAAGCCTGCAGAGGAGGCAGCTGCTTGGCCTCAGTGCCCAGCAGATCCACTGCAGCTCAAAAGATCGGGGGAAGGGACCAATCAAAGACCACTGCGGATACTGCAGCCCACGCTGGACTTGGGTCCTTTCACTGGTGACCACACTGCACTGCTCAGGAGTGGATTTGGTAGAACTAACTGAAGTCTCCACAAGGAGACCTCAGTCCACAGCTCCCTCGGCTGCTTCATCCGCAGAACTGGGGCAGGGTTGCAGGCTGCTCTGGGTGTGCCAATCCAGCTAGCTGTGAGGAACCGGAGCTCGGCCGTTTGCTCTGTTGCAGCCTGTCTTCCCAAGAACTAGTCTGAGCTCCCTCTTCCATCCAGAGAGCTTTGGGGAGATCGTTACATGGCCCAGAAGGTTCCCTGGTCACCACTCCTGCCCAGAGGCCTTTACGCAGCGATTTAAGAAAACGGTTGGGTTTATTTCCGTGGCCCTGTTTTTCCCATATCCCTTTCTTACAGGGCCCAGCTAATAGTGAGGCAAATACAAAACCAGAGTCGCTAAGTGCATTTCAGGGCTGGACTTCGGCATAGAACTGGCAGGAATACCCCCCAAAGTCGCCGTGCAGATCACCTGTGACCCAGCTGCCCTCTGAGTAGGACTGTAGCATTAGCAGGCCTGCCAGCCGTGGGACTAACACCCTCTATCCAACCAGGTACCATACAGGGAGCCCCCCACTCCCAGGAGAGCTTGCTCTCTGCTGATCATGCAGTCGTTGGCTCCTCTGCTGGGAATACTGACAGCCCCCTATTGTTGTTAGTGGTGGGGGTGGATTTCAGCGACGGGACCTGGACTGAGACCCCATTGACGGATTTGGAGTTGCCTGGGACGATCTATGAATTTGCGATGCTCTGTACATTTACTGTTATGCACACACTGCATTAATTCAGTAACCGGGGGGGCAGGAAAACAGACGACAGCCCAGATACGAGCCCCATAGCAAACACCCCCGACAATTAACTGTGATATGCTGCTACCCTGCCAAGCCCAGCTTTCCCAGGACTGCGACACACAGCGTGCAGGGGATGGGGAAGGGCTCAAAAGCCTGAGGTGGATTTAAAGAAACATGGTCCCTGGAGGGGAGACAGTTAACAGGGAGAAACTGCCCCCCGACTTCCCGAGGCTGCAGGTGACGAGTCTGCTAGGGTTCTGCCAAGGGAAGACGAGCCTCTAGGCAGGTCAAGACGCATGTGGGCTTTTTGCTGTTTTAGGCTCTATCTGGGTTCCTCCTGCTGAGATTAAACAATGCTCAGTGCTGGTCACAAGCCCCCAGAGGAACAGCCCTGAGGCTACTGAGGTCAGTAGCACCTGCTGGGCATAAGCAGAGTGCCGTAGCCTCGTATCCCAGTCTGAGAGTGGGAGAATCGTGAGGGAGTAGGTGCACTTTGGAAGAGACCACAAGAGGGGACAGAGGGGCAGAAATCCCCCTGAACCATGACACCCACCAACAGCCACAAGATGGCAGCACCTCTAGGCTAGGCTGGATCTGAACTGGTGACCCGGATTTGGGAGGTTATGGATATAATGGCAATCTTGAGATTCCCCCCTCCAATTATTTACAGCAGTAATTTACATTTACACAGCACCTTACAGCCCCATATCACAAAATGGAATCAGTAATCACACAACCAGACAGAAATCCCCTCGCGCACCACTGAAACCCAACCAGCTCTGGGGTGGAGCACAGCAGCTGGAAAGTAGCTCACAGCAACAGTACATAACACTTTAGAATAATGAGAAAAAAAGAGCTCCCAATGCTGCATTTCAAAGGTTTCCCTCATACCTGCTTTTGCGTTCTTCACAGCCATTTTGTTGGACACAGTAACAGAGATTTTGGACGTACTGGTGTCAGGTCTTCGGACAGGGGTAGCAGGTGGCGAATCTCGGCTTAAACTGTTAGCGATCATACGGGTGGCGGCTGGAAGGCAAGAATAGCTGGTGACGAAGCAGAATCAGGCCCCGGTGACGTATTCCTAGCGTACACCATAGAGCAGGGCTCCTGTTCTGCTCCCCAGGGGCTTGGTCAGGCTGAGAAGGGGCTAGCCCTGCCCCGTTAAACAACGGAGTGGCGCAGAGGACGATGGGTATTACAACTGCTGCCTACACCCCAGTAACGCAGGACAGCCAGCACTGAAGTCATTTGCCAAGCAATTCTAGTACCATATTCATCAAGACAAGAGACTGCGTCCTGGGAAGTGAAAAGCCACTGAGAGTGGGCAAAGAGGGGCCCAGACAATGGCACCCTCCTCTGAATACAGAAGAGCAGCCCATAGGCGACATCCGGCCTAGCGGGAATCACCAGACAGACAGAATCAAGCTAGTGCATCTCCTGCTGGGACCTGTGGTCCCCAGGGGCTACACGTCAGCACTGAAGATGAAGACAGCTGCCGCGACGCTCCGTTTCGGAGGAGACGGGAGGCTAAGCTCAGGTGTTCCGGAGGGCAGAGAACGGGGAAGAGAGACCTGATTTACGGCACGTGCCGAAGCCCAGGGGCGGTCCCATGGGCCCGTACATACCGCTGTTGGCGTTCCTGCGGAGCTCTGACTGCATACTTGGCTGGTTGGAGGACACCGATTCAGTAGCTGCCTTGCACATCTCCTAAAAGAGACCAAGGCAATTTCTCGTTAGACAGGATTTCAGGTCAACGTTGCTCTCACTGAGAGCGTGGAGGCAAAGTCCCAATGCGACATGAAGGCTCCGTTCAAGTGCAGCAAACACCCACATGCTTCTCGCACTCCCCTCGGGATGGTTCTTAGGGCTGAAGCAGCATGGAGACCCGGCTACCTCAGATGGACCGGACGGCTCCGAACAGGCGTCAGAGCCGCTCTCTGCCCAGGGATCTGGCATAGGAATGGACTAATGTCCAGCACTTTCAATTCTTCCCCTCGCCTCTCATGAGTTCAGCATTCATCGGGGAGTGAGCAGTGTCTGGCGCTCAGAGAAAGGGGCCGGAGTCAGAACTCCTGGGTTCTATTCCAAACTCTGACAGTAACTTGCTATGTGACTCCAGCCAGGCGGCCTCATGTTGCTGCCTCGCTTTACCCCATAGACAAAACAGGAGCATAGGCTCCCCTCCTGTCGTCCAGCCTGGCCGTGTGGGTTCAGAGCGGGCGGAGAGCTTTAAACAGAAGGTGCTACGGGAACGCATTAGGACACTAGGAAGGGTTTCATGGGCTGCCATAGCTTTGAAATTCATAGCTATTAAGGCCAGAACGGACCACTATCATCCAGTCTGGGCTCCTGCACAACAAGGCCAGGGGGTTTCCCCCAGTGAGTCCTGGATCTAGCCCAGTAGCTGGCAACTGAAAGAAAGAAGAATCCAGCCTTGAGCTGAAGTCCCCAAATCCTGGCAAATCCACCATACCCTTTGGAAAGCTGTCCCGATGGTTAATTACCCTCACTTTCCAACGTGAGCCTTGCTCCCGGGGAAATCCCGAAGGGCAGACGTCACTGAAGTTTAGAAAATGTGATTCCTAGAATCTTTTACACCCTGTGGTTCAAAGGCCTGGCACCGAACTCAGAAAAAGCCGACTTGAGCTCACACTGACAAGGAAGCACGTCCCTGCCGTGACCAGTGCAAACTAACACACCGACAGACCGATTTACCTGTCTGTAAACAACTTTAGCGTGCTTGAGGATAGCGATAATATCCCCCACCACCGTGATCCCTAGCTCATTCATGATCTCCTTGTTCAGGTCCAACAGCATGTTCTTCTGGATTCTGTAGAGAACAAAGCATGGAGCAAATACTTCATCAATGGGTAAAGCCTTTCCACGCCCTACACTGGAGGATCTCAAAGCATTTACAAGTGAACTGACCCCCATGAACTCCATGGGAGATAATTAACGTACAAAAAGATCATATCCCAGCTCTGCGATGGAGGGCAGCAGCTGGTAACAGAATGCAGCTACGCTTCACAATGCTGGAAGTGGAAGAGAATCAGGTATCCGATTAATAGTTAATGTAACCAGTTAAGCAGACTGGAATTTGGACAGGACACCAGGCCTAATACCCTTTCTTTCTCCTGCAAAATAGATCATGGGATCTTCATGCCCATGAGTGCTGGGAAGCTAAGGGTCAGATCATCTGACAGAAGTCTCACGTGTCACCCCTGCTGGGTGATCAAGGAGCGCTGCTGACAGGCTTGAGCGAAGAGCTATGTCCATTCCTCCCAGGAAAGGCCTATTGGTGCAATGTGAGCGGTCCCCTCGCTGGGGCTGCAGGTGAGGGGCCCGGGACGCTGCACAGAACGATGGGGACTATCACGGCTAGGAGCAAGGTTCCAAGGCCAGACGGGACCATTGTGACACTAGTCTGACCGCCGATAGAGCACGGGCCAGAGACTTGCCCCACATTAATTCCTAGAGCAGAGCTGTTAGAAAAACATCCCATCCTGATTTAAACGGGCAGTGATGGAGAATCCCCCACGCCCCTGGGGGGCAATTATCCTCCAACAATTAATTACCCAAGAGACTCTTTAGTGGCAAACTTGTCCCTCCCACCCAGAAAGGAAGTTCCTATTCAACACAAGTGCCGTTTAACTCAACCGGAGACAATTAATACTTAACACACACAGGGCTAGTTACACCTGAAAGGTATTTTAAAAGCAGCCTGTCTTCTCACCAGCACCTCTGTAAAGAGGGGAACTGAGGCAGGGAGCCAGGAAGTGAGTTGTTCACAAGCACAGAGGGCGTCCCATGTTTAGAATATACCCCTCTCCTTTTGGGTATTCTAATGAAGACATAAGTCTGTAGCTGAGACTGCGAAGTGTTTTTAGTTCCGTATGTTCATGCCCATTAAGTGATGGAAAATTGTTGGCCGTGTCTCACAGCAGCCTCACCTGTTATCCACAAACATAACTGCGTAGTTGACAGCAGGGCCTGGAGGAATCCCAGCTTCCTTAAAAAACTGAATCCACTCGGACGTAGCTGAAAGATGCAAGACACAAAACAGATCCTAAGTAATGTGATTAAACTAACAGCAGTCTGCTGGGATGCCCTCTAACCGGGCAGAGATCCGACAGGAGCTGCATGCCCCCGGAGTCGTCATCCCGCCAGCCAATACATGCAGTGGCAGTGACAACTGCTTGAGACACAGAGAGAAAGAGAGAGACAAAAAACAGAGAAATCATAAATCACCATAACGCGATCGCCGGGGGCCAATCATGAAAACACTGCCTATCATGCTGACCAACACAGGCTCATCACTGTCTGGCTGGCCTCTCGTCTGACACTTACATCGTTTACTCATTGGGGCAGGCACCTTCTCTCTGATGTGGCTGTACAGCGCCTACCACAAGGCAACTACAATCTGATGCATGGTAGGTCACTTGGATGCATCCCTTGAGCTCCTGACACGTTGCTACCCTGGCCCTCAGGCAAACCTTTGAGTCCCCCAGTGCTACTTGGAGAGTCCTGAGACGCCCACACAGCAGCAGGGTAAATCAGTAGCAAGCAGGTGCCTTCCCTCCCTCCCTCTAGTCAGTTTCAACTAGCTTCAACATTATTCTTTCATGAAGATGTTGGTGTTACTTCTCCGGGGGGAGGAAAAGAATCAGTGGTTGGTTAAATCTTTACCAGCCACAAATTATCCCATAGCTGCTACTGAAAATGCTTCACGGCAGCTTCCTTATCCATCAAATTCGGAGTCATTTGGAAACACAGAGAGGAGAGAGAAACCTAAATTAAAGCAGCAGATCATCATCAGCTGGTACATTCCATCAGAAAGCATGGACTATATTCTAAGATCAAGCTTCATGAAGTAAATTGAGAATGAAACAAAATTCAGAATTAAAGTGCGAACTCTTCATAATCCACCCTAGAGGTTATCAGAATTGCAGAGAACTCTAAAGAACAGCAGGACATTACCCTCTATGTGCTGCACGGGCTTTATCTCTGGATTTCCTGGCCTTTGGAGGTTACAGTCATGATCGTAATGTCACTTCAGTATCTTTCCTGTGGTTTAGTGCACAGATCCCCGGCACCACATGCCGAGCATTCACAGCTGCTGTCACACATCAGCCCGGCTGCTCATGCACCAGCCACTGAATTCCTCTGACATTTGAATATGCCACAGAAGTTAACGATAAAATCTGCTCTTCTGAGCGCCTTTACGCAGGGGCTATCGTCTTACCGAGATCTCCATTTACACAAGAAGGGGGATACCTTCAAAAATCAAAATACCATCATTTCAGACTTACCCATTGTAACTGACACCATTGTGGGAAATCCAGAAAGACCCCTGGTGGGGCCTGGCTCTCACGGTGCTGAAAAGCCTGCAATGAAACAACATATCATTAAGGCAACTGCGCTTCACGAATGACGCAGGCAGAATTCCAGTGCTGGCATTCATGGAACAAGAATAGCCCGTTACCCACTCCCAGCCCA